ACCTGTGTCACCTCAGACAAGACCCCCTACATCTCTGAGCTACAGATGCTTCTGTTTTGCCTTCCTGGAGATGAAACTCAGGGGCATTTTCACACTGAGCTGCTTCCCCAGCCCTTTTTATATTTTCAAGGAAATGTCTAAATTGCTCAGGTTGGCATGGAACTTGGGGTCCTCATCCTCCCAGATACATGGCTGGGATTACAGGCATAAATCACTGCACCTGGCTTGGGCTGTAGTTTTCATGTAAATTGAAACCTGGGGTGTCAATACTTCCCTGGCACTGGGGTTATGAAAGGGTGTCACTGCTGCCCCTTGTGAGGGACCTAGACATGAGGAGACTGAGATACTGTGCCTGGGATCGCGGCCCTCAGACCATACAAGACTTGAAACCTGGGGCTGGTGTCAGTTCACTCCCAGCTTCCAGGCAGGCCACAGCAGACTGGCACTAGGCTTAGAAAAATGAATGGGAGAAAGGCTGAATCCCCCTGAAAATTCTTTCAGATCACATTATTTTGGGATGGGAAGAACTGTCACAACTTGATCTGGATCACAGCCACCTTGGTCCAAAGACAAGACCCAGCGTCTGGGGAAAATGACTGCCATGGCACACAAGGCGTGCTGCACCTCGGGCAAACCAGACCCATCAGGGTGAAACAGGCTCATTACCCTGGAAGGTCGACAGGCCTGGGGGTATTTTCTGGGTAATCTGTGTTGTATGTCTTCTTCTGGAAAAAAAAAAAAAAAAGAAGAAAAGCCAAGCTTTTCTGGCATTTTATGAATAGCGACTCAGTACTCTTACAACCAGCCTATGTATTGAAGGCTGTGCCTCCCCCCATTTTTATAAAAGGAACTGAGGCACAGATAGGTTAAGTAATGCCCAAGGTCGCTTCGCTGGTACAAGGCAGACAAGGGACTAAAATCCACATTGAAAATAAGCTGTGAGGGGCTGGTGAGATGGCTCAGTGGTCTAAAGCACCTACTTAGAACGAGCTTAGCAAAGCACGGGGACCGCGGTTCAATCCCCAGCACCACATGCCAGCCAGCCCCGCCCCCTGGTGGGCTGAGCTGGCCACACACAGTCACACACAAATAAATAAAAATTTAAAAAAAAAAAGAAAATAAGCTGTGAAAAAAAAAAGAAAGAAAAGAAGCTGTGAGTGCTAAGATTAATAATATTCTTCAATTAGGGGTCTCAAGGCTATTCTGAAGGTCAAATGTTTTTGGGAAAACAAACAGAAGCCAGAAGCTTCAGTTTTGCAATCTGCCTTGATGTTGCTCTGGAGTCAGGGGTGTCTGTAAGCTCCTGCTCCCCAGCTCTCCCTGCAGAGAAACCCTCAGAGCTCTGGCCGCCGCCACTTCTGCTCAGGACTGAAGGCAGCAGCCAGAGACACCAGAATGGGGTGCTCACCATAGTGGTCTGGCTCCTCAAAGGCCCAGTCCCCAGGGTCCCGCCAGTGCTGGGCCCAGCGGCCTGTGGCCCCGCTGGACCATGGCTCCTCTTCCTCATCCTCATTGCCCTCCTGGTCCTCAGGCTCTCTGTGCTCTGCAAGGTGCTGCTCCTTTTCCTCTTCCTTTCTCCTGGGGGCTCCACCCTTGAGGCTAGTGGCCCCCTCTTCACCCTCCAGGTAGCCCCAGAAGAGGGGCCAGAAGAGCTCTTTGGTGGGCTGCCACCTAGGATTGTCCTGGGGCAAGCGATTGCTAGGCTCGGCCAGCAGGTCCATCTCCACCTCAGCCTGGGCATCCTCCACCACCTCAATAGTCACCTGCAGGGAGACAGATGCCACATAGGGAGGCCTCAGAGCAGGACTCTGAGGAGAGGGCAGGTGACGGGCTGCAGTGGGAGCCAGAAGCCCAGCCCTGACTCTAGCCAGCTAGCGTCTGTCCCAGACTTCGGCTTCTCAGGGCGTGTGGCACACGGGAGACCCTTGCATCCAGCCCCACCAGTCAGGAAAGATCATATGGCTGTTTCAGCTTGCACCACAGTTGAGAGCCCCCAATTTAAGCGAAGCTGGCTTTAATATTCACCCTCTAGTGCTGAAAATTGAACCCAGAGTCTGTGCATAAAGCTACATTCCTAGACTTTTTATTTTGAGACAGAACCCTGTCTGTAAGTTGCTCAGTGGCCCTGGTTGGGCTAAAAATCCTGCCTTTGCCTCCCAGAGTGCTGGTTTCTAGGCCTGTGCACCAGGCCTGGAGGAGCTGGCTTGGATTCTGGTTCTGCCACACAGCTCTTCCATTTCTACAGGGCAGGGCTAGAAAATGAGAGCAAATATGAACTCTCCACACAGCACTCGGGAAGGGTTCTCTACTTACATTAAGCAGGAGGAATAAATAAACTCATTTAGCTCTAAAAGCATTAGTTTGGGCTGCTGTCAAGTAATAGGAGGCCAAAATTTGGGGGAAAACAACAAAACATAAAGAAGAAATAATTTCTTAAAACCATTTATATGTTCTCTTTTACATATATTTAATCCATCTGAAGTTAATCTTGTAGATCTGAGTGGAGACACATGCTTGTTAATCCCAGCACTCAGGAGGCTGAGGCTCAGGCAGGAGGCTGAGGTAGGGAAAGTGCTGTGAGTTTAAGACCAGCCTGAACTACATAGTGAGACCCTGTCTCTAAAAGACAAAAAAAATAAAAAATAAAAA